AAAGTTCCAAAGTTTTTAGTATAGTAAATTAAAGTTCCAATGTTTTTTTTTGTAATTACTTTAACAACTTTAATATTTTAATTATTAATAATTATTTATAATTAAAATTAAATATATTTAAATAAATACTGCTAATTTATCGGTGAAAGAGACTATTTTTACATTAAAACAATTTCTTGTACTTTGTTTTGTTTGGGGGACGATTTGGGTTTTTTGAAAAAAAAAATTCTGAAGCTTTAATGAATCTAAAACTTGAAATTTATATAATGTACAGAATATAAAGCAAAACCATGATCTTAAGGGTTTATAGTGCTTAATCAAAAGTTCCATAGTTTTCACTTTAGTAAATCAAAGTTCCAATGTTTTCATGTAGTAGATCAAAGTTTCAAAGTCTTTTAACTATTATAGTTAATCAAAGTTCCAAAGTTTTCACTAAAGTTTTTACTACTATAGAAAAAAAAGTTCCAAAGTTTTTACTATAGTAAATCAAAGTTCCAAAGTTTTCACCATAGTAAATCAAAGTTCCAAAGTTTTCACCATAGTAAATCAAAGTTCCAAAGTTTTCACCATAGTAAATCAAAGTTCCAAAGTTATAACTTTGGTACTATAGTTAACTTTAGTAAACTATAGTTAACTATAGTATTTTTTTGTTAGGGAAAACTCGTCATCCATGATTTCAATGTTAAAATAATTTTAATGTAATTAAATATAGTTTATATAAATTAGATATCAATTTCCAGCACTTAGTGTACAACGGTCACGTGATTGTAACAGCCAATCAAATTACTCCTCAAGTTTGGCTTTGTCTTTCTCGCACGGTTCCTGCAAATTCTCAAGTAAATCCTACGGATTTATTCATTATAATCTCATTTTAAACGCTGACAGTTATAATAATTCCCTGTTTGTGGATTGTTACTACCTTCTTACCACGTGTAGTTTCACGTGTATCTGTTGATATGGACACGGACTATTAATTTCTTCTATCGGATACTGTGACCTAAATGCGTGAACTCTGAGAAGTGATATATGTACTGATTGTTTAAGATTTCTTACTGAAAGATGCCTGGGAGGAAAAGGAAACGATCCGAAACATCGACAGGACCCTCAGATACAGAAGTCACGCGATGGGACAATAGTGAACCAGAAAACTGGACGTCCACAGAAATTCTGCAAAAGTTGAAATCAAAAGGAATCTTGGTGCCAGTGTCCCTGAAAAAGTCCCAATTGGTACAAATCTACCGGGACAACGTTTTATCTAAAGAAAAATCGGCTACAAGTAACGAAACAGACAATGTCGAAGTTATACATATTCAAAATGGCGCAGGGGAAGTAGTAGAAAAGACACTTCCGGCATCTTCATCAGCAGCTAATGGAAACGAGGCTGGGCGGATGTCGTATTCCAGCGAATTGATTGAGGCAATTCGAGACATAAAAGATTCAGTTACGAAGTTGACAAACGAAGTGGACGAACTGAAGAAGAATCAAAACAAATCCAATGAGCCAGGGACCTCTACAGACTACATCGGGAGAAACTTTGATAACTCTCCGCGGAACACGTCCCAGGATGTACCTACCAGAGTTTCCTCCGACTCAGTCCCCTGTGTGGAAACGATTTCTTCGACAATTAGAAGCAACATTCTACGAGGTAAAGATGTTAATTTAGCATTACTTATTATGCCACGAGAGACAGAAGAAAATCATGTAACCGACAGCGATGGTCGTTACATATTATTGAAACAATCTCACGACACAAGACTACTGAGAAACCTAACCCTTAATGAGTTCATAATAGCCTTTACAAAATACAAGAACATAATATGTGAGGTGTATCCCGCAAGGCGTCAAGAATTAGACGCTTACGAACGGGACATTGTGGAAATGGCATCTACCACAAGAGGAGCAGCCTTTTATGAGTATCATAAGGCTTTCTCAGCACGTGCGAGCGCACTATTACTACAGAGAAACATCCACATTGACTGGTCCATAAGAGACACTAAATTATACACCACTATATTTTCTGGTCAAACCGTAATCAGATGCGAGTTCTGTAGTAGCGTGACCCATGCCTCACACTTCTGTCCCAAGTCAAAGAGCGGACCCACACCTTACGCTGGAAACCCAAACAGCAAGACAAAACCAACTCATAGTAACGTAGATGTTCAGGGAAGACCAAGAATCTCATATAAGGGGAAAGAAATATGTAATAACTACAATGGATCAAACGGGTGCCAAAGGAATTCTTGCAATCTTCTTCACATATGTTCAGAATGCAAGTTAAACAACCACTCTGCTTCCAATTGCACAAAAACCAAGAACAAATCAAAGGACCACACTCAAACTGACAAACAATGACTATCTTCTAAAGTGACCGAAGATAGACAATGTGAAACGGCATCAATTACTCCAATAAATACTCATTTACTTAAAACAGAACTAAAAAGGCATCCAGATAGGACGTTTGTTGACGCATTAATATATGGACTTGAGAGAGGTTTTACCACTGGAATATCATCATTACCTAAATCAACATTAGAGTGCAAAAATTTGCTGTCAGCTAGAAAACAACCTGAAATTGTCGACAAGCTGATAAAATATGAAATGGAGAAAGGATACTTGGATGGTCCATACGATGTACCACCATATTCCGTATACAGAATTAGCCCCATTGGAATTTCTCAAGGAAAATACTCCAAGAAATATAGACTAATCGTTGATTTATCCTCCCCTCACAACCAATCATCTGAAACAAGCATTAACGAGCTCATTGATAAAGATGAATATTCATTGCAGTATGTGCGTATCGATGACGCAATTTCCATCTTAAAGACACTTGGTAGTGATTCTCTCATGTGCAAAACGGATATAGTAGACGCATTTAAACTAATCCCTATAGCAAAAGATGTGCAACCCTACTACGGAATTAAATGGAGGGAGAAATACTTCTTCTACAAGAGTCTAGTTTTTGGTTGCAGGAGTAGTCCCAAAATTTTTGACATGCTTTCCCAAGCCATCTGTTGGATAATCCAGAATAACTACAATGTAAGAAATATCCTTCATTTACTTGACGATTTCATTACATTTGACCCCCCGGGCGAAGGCGGACTGAGGAGTATGGCAGTTTTGACTATGGTGTTCAAAAAGCTCGGAATCCCAATTTCGGAAAAGAAAACAGTAGGTCCGGACACAGTGATTGAATACCTGGGAATTATACTCGATTCTAAAATTATGGAGAGCCGTATCCCCCTGGAGAAAGTCGACAGAATTTTGACTCTTATTAATAACCTTAGAGTAAAGAAATCATGTACAAAACGTGAGCTGTTAAGTGTCTTGGGTCATTTTAACTTTGCAGCTCGAGTAATCCCAGCTGGCAGATCATTCACATCTTACCTACTTACATTAGCTCACTCTGTGTCGGAACTCCATTATCATGTGTATTTGACAAGCGAATGCAGAAAAGACTTGGCAATGTGGGAGAAATTTTTACAAGGATGGAACGGAAAGTCATTTTTCTTGGAGGAATATGTGACAGACACAACCGACATTTCATTATTTACAGATGCTTCATCAAACCATGGCTTTGGCGGGTACTATGCCGGGCGGTGGTTTCAAGGAAAATGGCCAGAAGAAATTCACAATCTGGGAAATGATCCTATTTCTATGGCACTTTTAGAATTGTACCCCATAGTAGTAGCAGTGGTCCTATGGGGACACGAATGGTCTGGAAAACGGATAAAATTTTTCTGTGACAATTTAGCTACTGTTCAGATAATTAGAAAACGTCGTTCAAAATCTGCTATTATAATGAAGCTTATGAGAAAATTAACTTGGAAGTCAGCATGCGAAAACTTCCTTATTCTATGTGATCATGTCCCTGGTAAAGAAAATGTGATAGCTGACTCTCTTTCTCGTTTCCAGATGGCCCGGTGGTGGTGGGGAGGAGGAGGTTTGCAGGAACCGTGCGAGAAAGACAAAGCCAAACTTGAGGAGTAATTTGATTGGCTGTTACAATCACGTGACCGTTGTACACTAAGTGCTGGAAATTGATATCTAATTTATATAAACTATATTTAATTACATTAAAATTATTTTATAAAAACAAAATTTGATTCCGTTTAACTTCTTTATTTGCCTTTTGAGAACTACTCAGCTACACACATCATCAATGTCAAACATATATGTACAAATAATGCATACATAGTGAAAATTGTAAAATATAAATCAATGAGTGGCCGATGGCCTCATGTGGTTGGCCGATGGCCTCATGTGGTTGGCCGATGGCCTTGTATGGTTGGCAGATGGCCATGTATGGGCGGCTGATGGCCTTGTGTGTCTGCATGGCCGATGGCCTGTGAGTCTGCATGGCCGTTGGCCTTGTAGAAGTAAACATGTACTATGTATGCTGAAAAATGCAATTTCTTTGGGGTAGAATAACACATGATATATAAAATATTCAGGTGTGAAATGCCCAAAACGAAGGTAGCACAAACAGAAAATTGATGTGTTTGGGATAGCTGAGAGTCCCCAAAAGAAATTGAACCACCACCATCCTTAATCTAATAACTCATCTAATACAAGAGATAATATAACATGTTCAAAGTATACCAATTTAGTAAACATTCAAATTAATTAATAGACTAGTAATGACATATTATGCTTAGTTGAACATTTTATACAAGCAGTTCTTTGTTACATTTAGGTTATGTCCGATATGTCTTAGCAATAAGTAATATGGCTAGTTTTATTTACATACAGAGTCATTTATAGTATGTTGCATAATTAGGAATTGGACAGATACAAATGTTACGTAATGGATAAACACTGCCATTGAAGTAACACATCCTTAGGAATCACAGAAACATTTCTTTCACACTTGACTATTTCACAATTGACTTGGATTTCACTGCTATATTTCACTATGAACCATGATCGTATCCTAGAACACGCACATTTTCTTTTAAGGCCATTTTGAATTGCACTAGCTATAATAATTTTTTACTGAATCACTTGTTGCACATTGCCTGTTGAGCACGGGACAATGTGTCGTCGTCAGTACGAATGTATCGGTTGTAGCAGTCAGACCTCCATCGTCCCAAAGCTTTAATCATGTGATCCTCCACGTTACCGGATGCTGCGGATGTTGCTGCCCCAATTCTGAAGGAATGCCCATTGTACTTTTCATCCTTGTATCCTAGCGAGTGAAGTAATTGTTTAAGTTTACTGACGAAGGAGTTTCTCGTTAGTGGAGTTCCGCATTCTTCAATGAAAAGTGCAGGGGATTCTCTGCCATTAGTCCAGGTTTTGCGAATCTTGAGATATTCCACCATTGAGTTGACGGGGCAAACGACATTACCAGATTTGAAGATCCTGATACTAATTCCTTGACGAAAAGGATCTGTTTTTGAGCTCTTTAGCACTAAGGTAAAAGCATTCACTTTGTTTTCATGAGAATCCATCGTAATGTCTGTTAAAGATAACATGTTGTCCTGGTTACCATTCTGAATTGTTTATGTAAGGCATTTCACACCTGAATGTTTTATATATCATGTGTTATTCTACCCCAAAGAAATTGCATTTTTCAGCATACATAGTACATGTTTACTTCTACAAGGCCATCGGCCATGCAGACTCACAGGCCATCGGCCATGCAGACACACTAGGCCATCGGCCGCCCATACATGGCCATCGGCCAACCATACAAGGCCATCGGCCAACCACATACGGCCATCGGCCAACCACATGAGGCCATCGGCCACTCATTGATTTATATTTTACAATTTTCACTATGTATGCATTATTTGTACATATATGTTTGACATTGATGATGTGTGTAGCTGAGTAGTTCTCAAAAGGCAAATAAAGAAGTTAAACGGAATCAAATTTTGTTTTTATAAAGTGGCAATTTATTATTATTACCTGCTAATTTAAAGGTACAAGATTGCCACTTTTCCTAAATATTAAGAGTAAAATTAGAATTTGTGAAAGTGTAAGGATGTGTCAATCAAACCCGCCAAAAAATTTAAAGTTTTAATAACTTTTAAATGAAATAAGATTTTTAATTAGTTTTTGTGTGAAATGCTATTAAAATATACTTCGTAATATTATAAAGAAAAAATTAACTTCAAATCTGTGTCCAAGTACCTTTAACATGAGTATTGAATAGAAGGGCCATCTTTCAACTAATGTTTTTAAAAACTTAAACATATGTGTTATCGGGATAAGATCCAACAAATCTTGTCCTGGAATATTAAAACAAATTAAGTTTTGAGTCGGGACATTTTTAGTTCATCGGTCGGGAGAGTGCATCTTATTACATATCAAAACTAAGCTTATTGAACATAATTAATAGCTCCACCTGATTGATAATAACGAAAATCAAAAATAGAAAATGAGATAGTTTCAATATCCCAGGTCTCGAAGCTTGAAACTTAAAAAAGAAAATAATATATAGTGATTTTTTTTTCGGGGGGGGGGGGGGCAGGTTAATTTTTAGTTGATCTGTAGGTAGCTGGAAGATGAAAACAAATCAATTTTTATTTTAAACTCAGATTTCTTGAATGGCATTATTAACGCTTACGATTACAGGTGATAGTCCTTTTTTCAGCTATCATTAATTCATTCTCAAAAGATGTCGCCATATCAATATTTATTTATCTTCTATAAGAATTAACATCGCAAGCGCCTGTGGAATATAAATAGATCATATTGTCTTTTCAGCCTGGTCTATTGTTGTTTCTTTTGTTTACATATTTTAAGCATGAAATCATTGTCGTTGTAATGCTCAAAAAAAAAAAATAAATACTGCTTGTATCTAGCTGTATTTCATTTTTACAAATTTTTGCAAATTCAATACAATTTCAAAGTGACTTTTTATCGGAAGATTTCAACGTTTATATCAGTGACTACTGTTTTTAAATGTATTTAATGTATTTTTTCAATTTATTTTAACAAATCTTATTTTTTTTTAATGATAAATACATTTTATAAAGACTAGATGTATATTCACAGATCTCTCTCTCTCTCTCTCTCTCTCTCTCTCAATTGATCGATCGATAAAATATTTATATGCATCTAAGTATCACCGGGGGAAATAAGTGAAAACTGTCCGAGGACTATGGATCACAAAAAAACTTATGCTATGGCGCGCCAAATTTTACAACGCTAGCGTACTCCTAAACCTACGTCATAATTTAACGTCAATGTAAATAAATATGACGTCATATTTAGACCAGTACCAATTTAAAAATAAAGGCCCATACTTGTGTCAAAATTTAGACATATCTGTATTTAATTTAAACTGAGATAAATGATAAATAAACGAAAAAGTTAAACAGGTATTACAAAGCGACATTTTTGTCGGTTTGGCGTTGACACAGTAAACGACATTTTTGTCGCTTTTGCGTCGAAAGGGTTAAACTATTTAATTTAGGTTTGAAAGTCCTTATAAGATGTCTTTCTTTATCACGTCTTTCGATTGTGTTAGAGTTGTGCAGTTTATAAAATGGAAAGACAGTAAAAGTTCTATTTCCGCACACGTCTAAGTGTTCACTGACTTTGAGTTTGCGATATTGCGGTACGTTTATTTGTTGTTTGTGTACTCTGATCCTTTCCCGTAATGTACTTCCCGATATATAGTTCCCCGCAACCAAGTGCCAGGATCCGCATTGTGGTACTTGTCCATACATACGACAAGGACAAAGTTTCAACTTTAACGGGAAACAGTTTACTGTTAATAATATAATAATGTCAAACTAGAAATGTTATATACGTTATAACTTGTTCCGGTTGCGGTACACAATCGAAAGACGTGATAAAGAAAGACATTTTATAAGGACTTTCAAACCTAAATTAAATAGTTTAATGTAAAAGAATTGTTTCTTTACATGTAAATTATGTTACTGAGTCACATTTATTGCTTTGTTATTGTATGCTTTGTTAATGCATTGTTCCGTGAAAGTACGGGAAAAATATGACGTCAATCAAAGACTTGTTAACGTTAAGTTATTATGACGTCACCATAGACGTTACCATGAGTATTGTAAAACATCATGAAGAAGAAATGAAAGCGCTTATGTTTTATTCGTTCTCTGTGTTTTTATTTATTTAAAATAATTTTCATATTTATCACCGACCACTGTGATTTTTCTTGGATCTATCTATCTATCTATCTATCTATCTATCTATCTATCTATCTATCTATCTATCTATCTATCTATCTATCTATCTATCTATCTATCTATCTATCTATCTATCTATCTATCTATCTATATATCTATCTATATATCTATCTATATATATATCTATCTATCTATATATATATATATATATATATATATATATATATTATATATATATATATATATTATATATATATATATATATATATATATATATATATATATATATATATATATATATATATATATATATATATATATATATATATATATATATATATATATATATATATATATATATATATATATATATATATATATATATATATATATATATATATATATATATATATATATATATATATATATATATATATATATATATATATATATATATATATATATATATATATATATATATATATATATATATATATATATATATATATATATATATATATATATATATATATATATATATATATATATATATATATATATATATATATATATATATATATATATATATATATATATATATATATATATATATATATATATATATATATATATATATATATATATATATATATATATATATATATATATATATATATATATATATATATATATATATATATATATATATATATATATATATATATATATATATATATATATATATATATATATATATATATATATATATATATATATATATATATATATATATATATATATATATATATATATATATATATATATATATATATATATATATATATATATATATATATATATATATATATATATATATATATATATATATATATATATATATATATATATATATATATATATATATATATATATATATATATATATATATATATATATATATATATATATATATATATATATATATATATATATATATATATATATATATATATATATATATATATATATATATATATATATATATATATATATATATATATATATATATATCTATCTATATATATATATATATATATATATATATATATATATATATATATATATATATATATATATATATATATATATCTATATATATATCTATCTATCTATCTATCTATCTATCTATCTATCTATCTATCTATCTATCTATCTATCTATCTATCTATATATATATATCTATATATATATATATATATATATATATATATATATATATATATATATCTATATATATATATATATATATATATATATATATATATATATATATATATATCTATATATATATATATATATATATATATATATATATATATATATATATATATATATATATATATATATATATCTATATATATATATATATATATCTCTCTCTATATCTATATATATATATATATATATATATATATATATATATATATATATATATATATATATATATATATATATATATATATATATATATATATATATATATATATATATATATATATATATATATATATATATATATATATATATATATATATATATATATATATATCTATCTATATATCTCTCTCTCTATCTATTTATCTATCTATTTATTAAATATATATATATTTGTTATACCCTTCACTCTCACTTAAGATTGATCAATTTAATCAATACATCTATCTATCTAAATTTTATATGGAAAATTATCTTCTCTAAATATATAACATCAAGCTGAGAAAGAACAAAATCAATTATATATTTATTGTATCACAGAAATTATTTATCATAAAACAAACTCTATACTTCTTCCTTACCTTGCTGTTAACAACAACTATTGTAGCTTTTAACTTCGGCTATTTTCGCGTCGCCGATATTGAACGATGATTATCAATTGTGACGTAACAGACGTGTGACGTTTTATCTAACAATTCTTATGTAAGACCGGTCAATAGTGAAATTGTTAGAACGCTGTAATAAACAATTCTTTTGTTGGACTTTTTATAAGTAATTTATATATAGAATGATATTTATAAGGGTATAACATATATATATATATATATATATATATATATATATATATATATATATATATATATATATATATATATATATATATATATATATATATATATATATATATATATATATATATATATATATATATATATATATATATATATATATATATATATATATATATATATATATATATATATATATATATATATATATATATATATATATAATATATATATATATATATATATATATACAAATATATATTATATATTTATATATATATATAAATATATATATATATATATATATATATATATATATGCTGTTATACAACAACTATATATAGCTTTTATATATATATATATATATATATATATATATATGATTATCAATTATATATATATATATATATATATATATATATATATATGTAATATCATATAGTGAAATTGTTAGACCGATGTAATAAACAGTTCTTATGTTGGACTTTTTATATAGTAATTAAATATATAGAATGATATTTATAAGGGTATAACATATATATATATATATATATATATATA